CGAAGTTGGGGGAGGGGAAGAGGAAGGAAGGGGGGGCAGGGCGAAGGGAGGGGAGAGGACGGAGATTGGGGAGAAGGGGGGCGAGCCCGAGAGGAAGACCGAGACTGGAAGAGGGACTTGGAAAGAGGGATTGGCGAGCCCGGGTGCGAGAGGAAATGAGCGGGGGATGGGGGCGAGGTTAGGGCGAGGAGAGAAGTGGGAAAGGGGAGGGAGCGCCGGGGGCCGAGAGGAGGGGGCTGGGGGGCCGGCCGGAGGGGCGCGGCGCTAGGCGGCTTCGCTTCCCGTCCCCCTCAATTGGCCGCTAGCACTGTTTTGACTGCCTGTACAAAGCAAGCAGACGGCGGGGGAGGGGGCGGTTAGGGACCGGATTTGGGAGAGGAGGCAGCAGCCCCTTCCCTTCCCCCTCCGCTCTCGCCGGGCCAAGAAGCGGAGACTCGGGTCTCTAAGCGCGCCAGACTCGGCTGGACCCGCAGCTGACCTTCCCCGCCGGACTGAGGCTGCGAGGTTGAGACGAGAACCGGTCCTCTTGCAGAGACCCCGACCCTGACCCAGCGTGGGGAGATTCGCTGCCAGTCAGGAACAGAGGCTCGCTCGGGAGTTGGTTGCAGCTTCAGTACGAGGAGCCCGCGCACCCCACCCCCCATCGTCCTCCTACCCCACCACCCCACCGGGAACGGCGTCAGTCTGCGGGACTCGTAGAGAGGATGGGTGTTTCCAGACTGAAATGTGCCCTCCGCCGCCAAAAGGGAGTTTACGCGGCCGCGGGGGGCCTCGGCAGCGCGCCGGCGCCACGGTCCTGGGGAGTGCGTGCAGGGGGTGGGCTCCGGAGTGACCCCTGACAGGACTTTGCCCGTGTTGCATCCAGGGAGGGGTAAGAGACCCTTATGTTTGGGGGGGGGAGGAGAAGGGCGGGACCGACACGGGCCGGTAAATGCAGCTTGAGGCATATGCTTAGTTCCTGGCTTGCAGTCCTTCTGATTAATGATTAAACTCTAGCAACTAGTGCAACCCTCTGTACCCCGAGAGTGCCTCTGTGCCCGCCCGGCTCAGGGATCTATCTTCCTTTGGGCCCTGCTTTCATGAGGTCTCTGTGAAGCCCTCGTCATCTCTCAGTCAATGGAATCTCATAATTGAAAAATCAAACATACCTGAAAACTAGGAATGGTCGTCCGAGAGCACAGTTTGGGAAACAGTACGAGAGAGTAGTGTGTCTGGATTATTCAGGTCTGGAGA